TTGTCATCAGATACCTTGAAAATTATGTGGGCGAGGCTCTCCAGACAACGCATGGAAGCCAGTCTTTGTGCATGTCATAAATGGGCTCACCCAAAGTGTGCGGCGGATCCCACGACGAAGAACCATTGTGAGACGACAAGGAAAACGCCTGCTCGCTCGATAGAACGATATGCCCCTTGTCACAAGCAGGCAATCAGTGGAAACAGCCTTCAGATCTGCGAATGGCAAAAGCTGAGAAAAAAATACGCGGATATTAAACCAAATTGATGGGGCAAGTATATCAACACGAGATTTTGAGCTGGAAAACATGGTTCACTGTGCATTCGTTTCTGGCTTGTTTAGAAGGTTTCAGTGGGAAAGCTTACCGAATCTCGCTTGGTAAAAAGAATGGTTCCCGGGTAGATGGCAAGTCCTACTGTGGCGGGGATCTAACTGGGTAGACTAGCCCAAAGACCGAAACGGGTGGCACAGCGAGGAACCAAGTGTACCGTATATTTGAAACTTCTATCTGGCCAAATCTATTGGGTTCATGTCGGTTTTTTTTTTCCTAATAGATTCGCACATTATGACCCGACTTCTTGCACATACCACACAGCCGGCCTTTCGTCTCATCCCTTGGTTTTCGATCTCCTCCATTGCTGCTCTTGACTAGTCTTTGTGGTCGTGTCTCTCGTCGTCGGCTACAGGAATGCTCCTGCGCTCGTTGGAAATGCAGTTGATACGTGGTGACCCCATCAATTGTCACGCATTTCAATGCGGCATTTTGCAACTGCCACTCACCGAAGGATGCTGCTGATGCCTTACCGCAATCCGAAACCTTATCGCTCTCAAATTCGGACGGGTTGTGAGAAGCCGGTGGGCTAAGCATGCTGGCTGGCTGGGCCCTTCTAGGCGATCGTGACAGGCGTCCTCCAGAGCGAGGCATAGACTTTGGCGACGGACAGGCGTCATGTCTTCTTCGTCATGGGCAAGTTTCTGTCGTTTGTGCGGCCTAGGAGGGTTCTCCTCTGCATTATCGTCGGGAAGGTCGTCGGGAGGGTCATCAGCATGAACATTGTCAGAACTGGTCACCGAAGGCGAGCGCGCCGTCCCGCGCTTTTTGCTGCGGCCGCTGTCCTCGCCGTCGGTATCGCTGAAGCTCCCGTCATCGTTGTAGTCAGCGTCGGCATCGCCGTCACTACCACCGTCGCTGTCGCTGCTGCTTCCACTGTCGGCATCGTGGGAGCCGTCACAGTCGCCCTAGTCGGAAGGGTGGCCATCCCCGTCACAAGAGCCTGAATCGTTCTGGCTGACACTTTCATGTGACTGGGACTGCCGCGGCAGCTCGGCACGGTCGCCCGCTTCATAGTCACAGTCACTCAACACTGACTCATTCCCGTCCTCTGCCTGCCCATGATCCTGCTCAGCTGCCTCGGCGGTGGATTTACTCGATGAGCACAGGTTGGAGTCTAACCGATCGCTAAGCCGGTCTTCTTGTCGATGAGCGCATGAAGCGCCTGCTTCACCGTCCGACTCCGACTCCGAATCGGATGGAATGAATATTGCCTCATCTTTACTCCCGCTTGGCGCTCCACATGCGAGACCTTGGGACAGGCACGGAGACATCGGAGTTCGAGCGCGTGAACCGTCTGCATGCTCTACAGCTTCTGAGCATGCAGGCGCGAAATCGTCCTCGCGGTATGCCGTTGAAGCAGTCAGAGAGACTTGCTGCTCGTGGGCAGCAGCGGCGATCACTGTCATCCTTCCCGAGGACGTGAAAAACGTCTTCTTTGACGACATTGCGGAGTATCTTGATCCAGAGGCGGTAGCTTGGTATGCTGATTGAGCATGACCTGCTCTACCGCCGCGGTTACTTGCTCTATGGCGAGCCGGGAACTGGCAAAACAAGTCTCAGCTTGGCGGCTGCTGGACAGTTTGGCCTAGACGTTTATGCCATGAATCTGTCCAAAGTCAACGATACGACGCTCAACAAATTGATGCGCAACCTGCCAACACGATGCATCCTCCTTCTGGAGGACATCGATGCAACTGAAAGCGCAAAGAGTCGTTAAAACAGCGGTGCTGGGTCGAAGGAGTCTACAAGCAGCCACGTGACCCTCTCCGGTCCTCTCAACGCAATTGATGGAGTAGCTTCCGTGGAAGGCCGAGTTTTGATCATGACAAACTAATCATGTCAACCGTATCGACCCGGCTGTTATTCGACCAGGGCGTGTGGACAAAATGGTTGAGTTTGGGCTGGCAAGTCGAGAGATGATGGAGCTGTTCCGATACATCTATAATGCCCTTGCCCAGCAAGAACGACAGAGTGGGAGATACGGAGAAGCAGGCTGGTCATCAATTCAACCTCCACCTCAACGTCTTCCATTTTGTGGAAATTGAAGTCACGTGCATCAATTCAATCCATTCAACTTGCTGTTGAAGTTGAAGGACTCAATTCCATGGCTGAAGCTCCCACGTTGACCACCGGTTGAAAACCACCATAGAATGTAGGGTAGTGTCAAAGCTCGTACAGTGTAAGGCTTTGACGTTTGTCGTGGGTACCTCGCCTTTCTCCACACTTTTGCCCTTCGCATCCGTACTCAGTACAAGTCATGCCTCAGCAAGCTACGCGTCGTGTTCGTGTCTCCTACAATGCTCTTTCCCATAACTCTAAAATGGACGCCAACGTGCATATCAAAAGCCGGCGCACTTCTGACTGCGATGCGCCAATTGAACCACTCCTGAGCATAGATCCCTTGTCAGATGACTGGAGCATCTTCCCATCGAATAAGTTTTCCGGGCTCACGATCTCTGAACGCGCAGGCAGATAGACTTCGTGGATTTGGCAGCAATGCAGCATGGATTCGATATCCAATCTTGCGACTCTCCCTTGACTCGGAAATGGGTATGTGGGCCCTGTCTGAAGAAGCCAAAGCCAAAGACCTCAAGGTTCTCTGCCGTCGGCAAACAGAATATCGAGAAAAATCTATTTAAGGAGCACCGGCTGGCCGACGAGTTTAGGAGGAGGCTACCTGCGATGGAGAAGGGGTGGAAAGACAAGACCCCATCTAGAAATATTGCGGAAATGCTCAGCCTCAATACCACAGCCTCAATACCCATGACCCTAAAGAGCAAGCTATTGCCAATGCTCTTATTAGACGCTTTAACAGGGACCATTTTCGGAAGCTGCTTCTCGAGTGGGTGGTCGATGCCAACATCTCCTTCCGTCAGCCTGAGCACAGTCGTCTTCGGCGTATATTCGAATATCTGTATCCATCCGTCGCTGTGACAAACGCCCACATTTCCTACAGCACTATGCGCAAGAGAATTGTCGACCTACATTATCGACACAAGGCATAAATTATCGACCACCTGAGGAATATCCCTGGGAAGATCTATATTGCGTTTGATGACTGGCGGTCCAGGAATCGGCACGCTCTATATGGTATAGCCTGCTTTTACATTGATCATGACGGTGCACCGTCCAAACTTATGCTTGGCCTACCGGAGCTGAAGATGTCGCACTCCGGCGAGAATATTACGGCGCAGGTTCTAGAGATTCTAGAGAGCTACGCAATACTTGACAAATTGGGGTATATCACGCTTGACAACGCTGGTAATATGGACTCGGCACTG